AGCTGAAATTTTGCCAGTGTGTTTCCCAGCCAAGTGCCTCCCCAGGACCACGGTATCAACTCACGCACGCCTGGGCCCGCGTACGAGCACGTGAAAGTTCTGGCTTAAAAACTGCTAACACGGGAACGAGAAAAGTTAGAAAGCTGAAACCTTAGGGGAATGCTCCTTACCCTCCTGTGACAAAAAGATTACAAATTCGGCTGCCCAGGTGTACCCGGAACTTACGTACGGGCACGTAAAAATTATGGCGGAAAATTCATAATTCGAAAACGAGAACTAGAAAGTTGAAACTTTGGGGAAATATTTTCTACTCATGCACGACCAAGTTTTCAAACTCCTTAAGACTGCCCGGGGCTCACATATGGGCACGTGAAAATTTTGGCGCGAAAATTCCTAATCCGGGAACGGGAAAAGCTAGAAAGCTGAAACTTTTAAGGGAATGTTCCCTACTCATGTACGAGCAAAATCAGGTGGTTAAAAGCGCCAAGTCCACATACGAGAGCGTGGAAAATTTGGCGCGAAAAATACTGACCCGAGAACGGGAAAAGCTAGAAAGCTGAAACTCTCGGGGAATGCTCCCCACTAATTTACGATCAAAATCAAGTGTTTAGAAGCAGCCGTGGCCCACGTACAGGCACGTGGAAATTTCGGCGCGAAAATCACTAACCCGGGATCGAAAAAAGCTAGAAAGCTGGAACTTTGGATTAATGCCCGCACTTTTGTATGACCAAAAGATTTTAAATTCAGCCCCTTAAAACGGTTCAGCACACACGTACCGACTCGTGAAAACTTTGATGGGAAAACTGTTAACTCAGGAACGGTAAAAGCTGAAGGCTTTAGTTTTAAGGAAATGTTCCCTACTCATGTGCATCTGAAAGATTTTAAATTTAACTCTTCTAGTGCGGCCTTTTTTGCGAACCAGGAACTTTCCATTTGTCGGATCACAGAAGTCGGTATCTACAACTGATATACCACACAGTTGCGCAATTCCCGAACTTCGAGGGCCAGTATGTCACAGGGTTTGCTACTGTGATTCCTTGCGATCTTGCTACTGCATGAAAAGTGCACAAACGCATAATCGCACTGGCCCGCCTGGTGCGTTCCAGCCTGGGTTAAATTTGGCTCGAATGCAAGCGCATGTCATATGTACGAACGCGTCAAAAACGCATTTCGCAACAGCCGACTCGGAGAGTAGACTGAGTTAATTTCTCTGCTGTCTGTGTGCGAGTTCGTACACGTGAAAGGAGCATCCACATACTCCTGTTTCAAATGTGACAAACTATTTTGGGCGAATTTTGTGAGCAAGTTGAGCTAGGAATGTGAAATTTTCGGGGGAAAAGACGATATGTCGCTAGAATACGAAAACTTGCGAAAAACTATGGACAAACCTGGTGCGTGTCGCAATTTTTGCAATTGCGTAAATGTGCAAAAGAGCACAAATCAGTTTGTAGCTAAGTCTTTACCTTTTTTTTTTTGCGACGCCAAGCTTCTAGAGGGAATCGGATTCAGGTAGCTCTCCAGAATGCTGGAGATCTGTTTCATGTTCGTCTGACGAATGCCGCAAATTGTGGTAAGAGGAAAATTTTCCCTTGTTGCGTCTCCTCAACAGGCAAATCTTAACAGTAATATTGGTTATTTATTGTCAAATATACATTCGATGGATAAGCAAACAACAAAAGCACACATAATTAGAACAAGAAAACGCGACAAAGCTAAAGTACAATAATGCATATATGTAACTGCGACTGCTTGTTCAGGACTCAGAAACGATAGGGTGGTGAGAGGAGAAAGAATCGCAGCAAGGACCGAAGGAGGGAGATGCCGGGATTACTCCTCCTTTTTACTTCTATATGCTTTTCAGTTCACATTTATGCGTATATTTATTGGAAAAAGAACGCAGAAAGTCTCTGTGCATAAAAAGTTACGATGCATTAAATCTACACTTTACTATCTAAAACTTCCAGCTGAATGTGACGCCTGTCAAGGGACTTCGCTTAAAGTTCGCATTTACCGACTTCACTGGAAATGCTAGACTTCATTTGAGGACAATCTTAAATCTGGCATTCTCCGATCCTCAGCTTACTGCGTCCCAGAACAGTTTATCGACTTGTCCGGACTGGCTGGATAGGATTGGCCCAATGTTTTCATTTGCTTCCTGGAACATTTGCAAGATGCCGATGAATATCTACCGTCAAAAAAAGGAGAGAAAATGTGTGGCAGTCATTTTTAGTTTGCATGCAGTGAACACACATGAACACTTTTTGCCAGTAGTCCAGCACAAATGCACAAGGATGCTAGGGATGAAGGGATTTGACTCGTCCTGTGTCGGCTCCTTCGCCAGCTGATAAAGTTAGGATGAAAAGACCACAAAAAGACATCGTCTGCACAATTCACGGCACTCTTTTTAAAGAGCGGAATTTTTTGTCTTTGGTAACTGCGGGACGGAATGCTTTTATCTCACATTGATAGAGATTAATCTCCCGCAAAAAAAAAAAAAAAAAAAAAAAAAAAAAAAAAAAA